GAAATATGTTGTAATAAGTAGTATATAAGTGGCTGAACACACTACCAGTTTCGCGGTGGTTACCGCTAGTCAGGCAGGCGTATTGAATCATCTCTCATTGATATACCTGAACCCCGGATCACCGCTTTGATTCAGTAATGGACTGTTTTGAAGAATATGTCCGAAAAACATACTTCCCCGTATGGCTGATTAAAGATTTCTAACGAAAATACACACCTTTGTTCAAGTGTAGTAATGACTAAGTGAATGATTATCGGATACGCATATCTGATGAGCGGCTGATTTATCTGGGAAGTCATACTCCGCTGTCTGACACTAATTGTTGGAAGTAAATTGATTTCACGATATGTCGACGCCGTCCTTAAACAAGTGACCATGTTTACCTCTCGGGAAATCACGAGTATTCCTTCGATCTCTTTCTTCTCAAACTATGCATTTTGATTCCACACACTCAATGTGAGTGGTATTTTGTTCACTCTTTTGGTTTGTTGCATTGTGTGCTCCTACAGTTGAACTATTTAAATCGCAGCTTAATAAAGCATTGGAACACTTAAAGTTTCAACATCCCTGAGTGATCATGCACATTATTATCATCGTTATTTTCTCTTTGTGCAGTTATTCAAAAGATTCTGTAAAAATCCTATGGGGCATGATAAGCTTTAGCTTTGTTAAATCGCCCATAATAAAAGACACCACAGGCAAATTCCTTCCTCTTATTCTGATCATCAAACAGCTCCGGCAAAACTGGAAAAAATGCGTGTGATCGGTTTATCGTTCCCTGCGTCTGGTTCAAGCGAGAAATCTGTCGGCTCAGGATCCGCCAATAGTCCTTCTGGCTCCGTAGTGGGAACCGAGGTCTCCATGGCTGGTACCGGTGCCGATGTGCCTGCCACACATATTGGCCTTGGAACGAGGACTAATCCGTACGATTTGCGACGTGGTCTGGGACTGCAGCTGACTTGTGAAACGACTTGCGGTTATCCGAATGCGACTATCAACTGGCTGGTCTCGAACGAGGTATGCCATTGTTGTTTTTGTGCTATTTCTGTTAGAGACGCTTGTATTTTTCGCATGCATTGATTTTAGTTGTTTCAGGGTTTCCTCCTTGTGTGTGTGCAGTTGAGAGGAACTTGTACTCAAGTGCAGAGTTTTTTTCACAACTGCTCTGAATATCAACATATTTGGGTAGTCCTAACGACTGCAAATAGCATTTTTACTGACATGCTGTTTTATAATCAGTTACTTCATCCCCACTAATGACACTATCTAGCCTTTACCGATCCATGCTTACCGCGATCGCTGTCCTGTACGCCCAACTCACGAGAAGAATCCTTAGGGAGGTTGCACAGGACGGACTGCCAACATGCAGTAGCGCTCATTTCATCGGGTCTACACAGTGGTAGATTTGACCGACAAATAACACCATTACAAAATGTGGGAGACTAATTCATAAAGTTTTTCGTCTTCGATCGATTCGGAGCCTGCTATGGCAAGGCTATTTTTTATTCGTGAAAGAGTTGTCATTTTTTACCAACTTTACAATCGTCTGTTCAGACGATAGTGTGTTTGTGTTTGTGTGACTCAGTCGCTGCGTGACTAACCAGTGATCACGGACTCGTGAATGAACAGTGGTTGTGTTGGTGTCCTTTATAACGGATATTGATTGATGTTACTCTTTAAAACAATAGTAATATTGCCTAAGCTTGGTAGTGTTCAGGAAAATTCAGAAATTGGAACCGAAACGCGACATCAATGCTGGATATAAATCGGGTCCCAAGGCAATTGGAATTATGCCAAAGAAGGATCAACTAAAACATTATATTGTCAGTTTCCAAGGTGATCCATTGAAAAAGTGCGTTTAGGCTTTTGTGAGCCACTCATTGAGGGTCCGTATCACTGGTCTCAGCGCCCTATCGTCGCCCTTTTGCGTCTCCTCTTCGGCATATTCTTGTATCTTCATTTGGAGTGGTGAACGGAGACTGTATTTTTTGGGTGAGGATGAAGTTAGCATCATTTGAACGTATAGGAATTCTAAAATTCACCATTCTTACTCATACCCTAGGGAATTTAGACAAAATGGAGAGACAGTTAACAAGTATGGGAATTGCTCAGCGGCCGAATTTCTCTCTCTCTCACACACAAAACAGAAAAAGTAATGTACTCTGAGTTGACATTTACGGTTCAAACGCCTCACCGCTGCCATACCAATAGTGTTTCTTGGTTAACGAGCATTTTATGCGTTTACCGGTGACATCGCCAGCTTAGCATGGAAATTTCCATACTTCGCATTTGACTCAGTTCCTTGTGAGTAATGGTGTGCGGTAATTGATTTTTATTGATTTGAGCTGACTATCCTATCTTACTGATGAGCTCCAGTAAGAGCGAAACTCGAGTCTAGTTCTTCCGAGTGTATGATTGGATCGATGAACTGAGGATTGTGCGTGAAAATGAAGTCCGAAGGATAGTCAGCCAAAATCAATGAAAAAAATTCCATATTGTTTGTTGGTTTCTTCGAGTTGGACTATCGTGTACGACGCAGTTGTTCAACAAAAGTATTTCATTGACTATTGGAATGTGGCCTAGGATTCAGCTTATGAGTACTCAGCGGTCACATCACGGTTTGCCAATTAATCTTGTTGTGTGTATCTTTCTCTGGTGATGAATCAGCATGAACTAAACCATAGTCATGTTCCATGTATTCATCCACTGAAAATATTTTACCACGGGCCGTGTTCCTCAGGGTTTCGGTTTCCGGTCTGACGGTTCACTATTCGCGTTCCTCACAAAGATGCGCACAATAATAAAACCGGATGGGCTGTGCATATAGTGCACACACACAATTTCACTGCACCATTGACTCTTTTTGATCAACATCGCCGAATCCGGAACAACGGAATGCCTGTTATTACCCTGTTATGTTCGTAGTGTCCGATTTCATAGAGTATCAAAATTCAAAAAAAGGTTTCACACTTGCACTTAGTTCATGGGGTTATGTGTCTACTAGTAGATCGGAACATCTAAGTAACTAGGGATGGGTCACAACTATTTGGATCATAATTTGAAGTTTTCAGTTTTTACAACCAATAAACACGCATCTGACTAGTGAGGGTGGCTGTCTCGAGTGGATCTCCGCCAGTGTTAGCTGATGGCTATCTGGCCCATTTGAGTCGATCGCTGTGAGGTTCCCAACCGAATTTGAATACTAAACCCCAACCGGGCTTGCAAATATGCTCCTCTGCTCAACTTTATGGATTTTTAATACTCGTTTTTCGATTCTTAAATAGATTTATTTCACCAATAAAGGTCGCCGAATCGGAAACATCAGGAACAACACAGTTCACAATCATTTTTGTTACGCAGTGTTCCCAGGATTGGTTCATCTGTAATGAGTTGTCCTGATACGAGCCAAGTTGGCATGAATATTATTAACTTAACAAACCTGTTCCTGTTTCGATTTGTTCCCACTTTCTCCGTCTTGGATTTACTGAATCCGTGTTTGTACCACTGGGTTTATTTTTCGTTAGGTGTGCGTACTCTGCCTGGTCACCATGATTGAACCTTGGGAGGAACACTTACCGTTGTACAACCGTTCACCGGTCACGCGAAAACTAGGAAAAAGTAACCTTACTTTTTATTCCCTGCCATTTTGTCCCATTGCGATCAAAGGGACCCAACTACACCCCAGTAGCTGTCTCCGGATGAAACAGCGGAGAATAATCAGTCATGCAAACGACCATTTACGCCTGGATTCCGGTGTTTAGGATTGCAATTTGGTTTCCTCCTCGGGAGAAAGAGAAGAAAGGGTAGAGAGAGGGTAGAGCAGTCGGTTAGAGTGTTGGCAATGCGTTTACTGATATGATGTATTGATGTTGCCTTGTTTCACAACCCCCCCTCCCCTCCCCGAAGGAACTGAAGATTGATGTCCTGATATTGAAAAAAGAACAGAATGTCCGTTGGATTTCCCAGTACATAGGTGTCATCTAGGTGTGTCGGACGAGGATGTAAATGCCTTAACGGTAAACTCGATATCTCCTGATTTTCCCCGCCCTAAAGTCCTCGAAAAGTTTAAATTTACTATCGAATTCTCTCCTTGTAAGTTGCTTAATAGAAAAGCTGTAATGACAGTCTCCCTGCGTATTGATTAAAATTCTTTTCGCTTATGTTCTGTCATTGTGTGTTTGGATGCTGGTGACAAATTCAGATCCCGAGTGGTACACAACGCATTTTGGACATGCCCTTTTCCGAGGCGATGATTAATGTATGATAATGAGCAGAAAGACTTGTTCATTTATACCCCAAACCAATTCCTGTTGACGTGGTCATAAAGAATGTATGGAGCAGACGGAGGCCGGGGTACACTAGGATTATTATGCAGAACGAGTCACTCTTTCTCACTCATTCATTCACTCACTCTTTTTTTTTCTCTCTCCTACACACATACATGGTCGATAATAGATTTTTACATAGTGCCACTAGTAAACCGCGGAAACAACAACAAATGGACATTTACAATGGATTAAATGGAAATGAAAGAAGACTATGGCATGCAAGCAACCGAAATGTATGTAAAGTATGAAAAACTGGATCATTCACAACAGTCGCACTGTAAGGGTTTTCAAAATCCATTTTGTTTATGACTGGAAGACCAAAGTGACATGATAATAACGCCCGTACTCTGTCACCATCGAATAAATCGTGGTCCAAGAGGATGTCTAAGATTGCGATAATTTTGATCTCTGGAAAGCATTCTGGTGCTCCGACAACTGTCGAATAATGAAAATGTGATCAATCGGTGCGAAACGCAACTCGCTCCTCTTGGGCCTTCTCTCCACACTTATTAAAAAATCTGTGAATAATGACGGATGTTAACAGCTTTGCTGCTTCTACCCCTGTGTTTGGCGCAGTTACTGTGCGGGTCCTTTTTAGCAATCCTTTCTCGTCACAAGAAGGGGATTTTCTCAGCGTTCCAAACCTTAGAGAACAGAAGCTTTTTCCATAATCTTTTAATAGAACGGAAAAATTCATCGGAGACTGGCGCTTTAATAATTCCCAGGGCTTTGATCTCCTTGCGGATTTTCGCCTCAGAAGGTGAATATCGAGATAGACTATGGGCTGTGCCAGAATAACTGTGGGATAAGCTGGTGCCAGTGATCAGCCAAGTTGTGTCTCGAATCGCCATGTCGTTCCACAAGTCACTGAACCAACGGAATGCAGAACACTTTTGCCGAAAGACCAGTAGTGATTGATGTCGTTTTCGCTT